TGGTCACAAAAAATTTTAAAATTAAAATGCCCCCCCCCCCCCCCCCCCCCCCCAAAAAAAAAAGAAAAGAAAAAGAAACCTAGTTGGGGGTGGGGGTGGGGATTGATTTCAAATTAGCTAACATTTTTAGGCATTAAGATTCACCAACATAGGATAAAATTTACAATAATTAAAATAATAAATTTGTATTTCAGTATATGTTGGGGGGGGGAGGGATCAAGTGGTTAGCATTAAAATAAATTATGGTTTAACATTACCCCCACCCCTTTTTCTTTCCAATAAATAATAAGAAATGCTTTGCCTTTGCTCTTTACAAGTACTTTGCCACAAAAGTCTTAAACTTATCCAATATCTTCCTCCCAAGGTGTTAAATGATTTTAAAATAAATATTTTTCAGTTTTAACAAGAGTATATATAACATTACATCTACAAGTACCGGTTAGGCTAAACGTGAAAGATTGGCAAAAACCATGGTTTTGCTTCTTAAAACGCTGCGATGTACGCAGGCCAAAGTCCATTGTTTTCCTAGGTACACCGCCGCGGTGTACGTAGTGCCGGCCTTTATTTTGGGTCATCATAGGCTTTTTTGCTTTTAATTAGTGTTAGTAAAAATACCCAGAATGATGACATTTAAATCTTTAGGTACAATTTATTCTTAGAGATATTTCTTTCTTTCTTTTTTTCTAGTTGTGGGGACGGGGGACGGAAGGGAGGGACTGCCTTCAAGCTTCAATACACGATAGTGTTATTTCGTTGATAGTGTCTCTCAGTAAAACTTTTATGGAGAATCAACAAATGAAGATCACCATCTCCACGTAGCTGTGGCATAAAGTGGAAATATGTGAGCACATAAAAAAACAAACACAAACAAACAAAGAACAGAAAATGTTATGACAAAAATTGTATAATGTAAATGTAACATACCAATTTCCTATCAACCTGGAGACGACCGCATGCTTTACTGATAGACGAAAAGATATTGTCCCCAAAATATTTTGGCATTTATATATGAAATTAATTATAATATGCAATTAAAAATATAATTGCTAATATTTAAGCAATAAATCAAAATATCTGGTGTTAAGTTTAAATTAGATTTTTGAATCAATATTAAGTTGCTAGTACTAATTATTTCAATCAATTTTGAAATTATTGAATAATAATATTTGTGCGATAACTTTTATCATGTAAAAAATCTGTCCTCTAAAAACAATAACAATGGCCTCCGTGGAGGAAGACGATTTTGCCGACGATCAAATATTTGAATCATTGCTATCATTTACCCCTGAAGTTCAAGAAGCTATTGAACAGGTTAATTTTAGTCATAAGTATACTTGTTAATTGTGTAAATCGTCGCAATCTGACACAGAATCAAAGAATCCCTATTAAAATTGCCGCTAGTGTTTGCGTGTGAGAGAAATTCCGGGCCTGTCAGTGATCACTTTCAAAATAGGGTTTGTCAAAAGGGCCTTTTCTACGATAAAAAATCAGAATTCATTCTCCATAAAATAGCATCTTCCTTCCCATCAATAATTCATAAATATTGCCTGCTCCTGCCTACTGCTTGAACACGTTTTAGCATTTAAAGCCTTCATAGAGCAGGATGGGGTGGTTGTTCCTGTGCTAAGTGATCCCAAATGGCTCATGGACTTGGCTTTTCTTGTTGACATTACCAATGGAGCTGAATGTCTACTCAACAAGAAGTTACAAGACCAAGGGTAGATTGTCAGTGTTGCCTATGACAATGTCGAGGCATCCTGCACAAAACTTGAGTTATGGTTCTCCACAGTCAGTAGCTTCTAGGCGGCTATTGGTAGTTTACTATAAAAAAACGACTAATTGGTGATATATTGATGTTAGTCAGTATTAGATATTGGTACCGTAGTCACTATTTTTTAAATTGCAGCCCTGAAATCACTCTTTTGTAGATATGTTGCCAAAAAAACATGTGTTCATGTTTTAGACAGCCGTCTGGCCATGATGCACTTCAAAATTTATTTTTTGTGTCTAGTCTCATAAATCTAAATAGGATTTACAAGACATACTGTACTGATTTTTCTTTGTTTGTATATATTTTATTTTATGTATTGTGGCTTATGTTTTTATTGGATTCTGTGCAGTTTAAAACATTAAAAAATAGTAATATAGTGATTCATAGACGTTAAAGTAATTTGTGTTATAAATGCACAATGTACTTAATTAAATTTTTTAATTGTACAAAAAAAATGCTTTATAAGTTAACAAGTGCTAAGTTGTGTAAATAATTTTCAGTAGGCCTATCTCTCAACAGAAAATAAATAACGGGGTGGGGGGGGTGTCACATGACCATGTTCCTAAACAGATGGGCCAAATCTTTTGTTGTCATCTTTAAGCCTAATCACATATTATAAATTATAATTACAAAGCAATATAGCAAAATCTGAGCATGAGGAAGGCTACAGCAGGCAATGTTATAAACAGTACTTTAGATTTTATAATTAGTGCCGAGGTGTCGTCACTAGTATGAACAAGTAATAATAATAAATGAATGGTGCAATGCTTCGCCAGAATCATTGAAAGTGGGTTATTAAGGATCCGAATTTGGTTTGATTTGATTGGCCAGACTACAAATAACTCCCTAGAAGCTATTGGTAGTAAAATTGGTAGTAAATTACCAATAGACACGTTCTTTAAAAATAGTTTGAACATACTGTTTTAATAATGACATTTATTTTTAAATTTGTATCAGGTACTGCCCAGCAATGACCCATTGGATAGACCAGATTTTAATCCTGTGGACTACATCAATACCTTGTTCCCAACTGAACAATCTCTCTCAAATATTGATCAAGTTGTTGGGAAAATAAAGCAAAAAATTTGGTTAGTAGCCTTCTATGTAGTTAATGAAATACTTATTTTCAATTTAACAAGATACATTCCATTTATTTTGAAATCTCTGATATAACTTTGGCAAATGTAATGAAACTGCTCCTAGTCATGGTGCCAAATAGCTTGTAATGAAACTGCTCCCAGTCATGGTGTCAAATAGCTTGTAATGAAACTGCTCCTAGTCATGGTGCCAAACAGCTTGTAATGAAACTGCTCCTAGTCATGGTGACAAATAGCTTGTAATGAAACTGCTCCTGGTCATGCCACCAGATAACTTCTCAATGATTATTGTAATCAAACACATTTGAATTGGAACATGTCATATTTATATTTAAAACAATCAAACCTTATATAAAAATATTTATTTAGATTAAGCTTAGGTTGGAGCCATCCATATAAGGTGTCACACATCTAATGGTAAGAGATCAGGAATTAGTGATGATGGGTTTTAAAGTGAATGGGGGGAGGGTGGGGTGGGAGAGACATAAAGGCGTTATATGATTTATGGATGGCCCCTTAATACAATATTTTTTAATCAATTGAATACTTTGAATGTTTCATTTTTAGAGCAATCACTAATAGATATGAAACTCATGTTACAGGCGTTTAGATGATGAGATCCGCACTGTGGTCCGGGGTCAGACTAATGTTGGCGAGGAAGGCAGGCATGCTTTGGAAGAAGCCCAGCGAGCCATTCAAGATTTGTTCAGCAAGATTAGAGATATCAAGGAGAAGGCTGAGAAATCTGAGGAAATGGTGAGTCACGTCTGTCACTAGTTACTGTGAGACATGTCTGTCACAAGTTACTGTGAGTCTTGTCATGTCTGTCACAATTTTTTTGATAGATATAGTCCATATGTATAAATCAAGTGTCAGTGAAGGTGGTATAGGTGTATGTATTAAGTACAGATGAGGGTCAGAGGTTATGAAGAGAAACTAATATGTTCAACAAATTGTGATTTTTACCAACATATGTAAATACTTAAACATTTTTAAAAAGACTTTATAAATGTCTTATTATCCAATATAACATCTTGAAAACTCTTGGTTTCACACCTAACCCCTCTCATATTGATTTCATTAGCAACTCTTTATACATTTATTATGTCATGTATGCTTCCTCTGTGAGCCATAGGCATGTCATGGTTTCTGTTATAGCTCTCTCTGTCAGCCATAGGCATGTCATGGTTTCTGTTATTGCTTCCTCTGTGAGCCATAGGCATGTCATGGTTTCTGTTATCAAAAGATCAGATTTCTCTGAAAATTTGAAGTCTTTAAAATTTAAAAATGCTTTTATTGTAGGTCAAAGAGATTACCCGTGACATCAAACAGCTGGACCATGCCAAGCGTCATCTGACGGCGTCAATAACAACCCTCAACCACCTGCATATGCTGGTGGGGGGTGTAGAGTCTTTGACGTAAGCATCAGCAGCAAAGACAGATTAGAGCTTAAGAAGTAGATTGTTGCTTCTTTAATCCACTTAAAGTTAATGTGAACAAATATGATAGCACTATTGTAATCTCTGTAAACGTTCTATTTCTTGTGATCTTCTTTTTGGCTTTGTTTTCTCTATCTTCTTTGTCTTTTTAACTCACACTAGAGCATAGGCCGTTAACAATTTTTTGCAACTCACACTGGAGCATAGGCCAGTACTGTCCAACCCACCGACTGGTTTTAAATGGCCCGCCAGAGCTTGGGACATTTGTACCATTTGTGTCAAAAAATATAAACATTTTAGAATTAGATGGACAAAACAACAAACAAATGACATTTAGTTATTCAGTATAGTTTGGAAATCACATGAGGGTACAGGAGAAGGGTGGCATTTGAAAAAAAGAAGGGCTGTGTTCAAAGGACAGGAACGCTTGACAGGTAGTAGTAATTTATGTTAAGCATGTCAGATGATCAACAATGTGGGAACATGGGGGTGACATGAAATAAGATACCAATTTCTTCTCCTTTCTGCTGCTTAGACCCGGCCTAGAAGGAAAAATGGGGGAGGGGGGGTCGTGGTGAACAGGTTTAATATTAACAGAGAGATGAATGGGTCTAATTTTTAATGGAGAGATGAACTTGGAAATTCAAAGTACAGTAACTTGATGTGTAACTAGCTGCTCATCGTAAAAATGTCCATGCACACCAACAGGACTGGTTTGTGAGCACCATGTGTTAAAACTGGTCTGGAGTACTAAAGGTGTCACTAATGACTGGAGGGGAATGTGAATCATTTGACTGGAGGGGAATATGAACCATTTGACTGGAAGGAATGTGAACCAGTTGTGGGCAGCATGTCCATGCTGTATTTTTAGATGAAATCAGACTAATATCTGATATTCAGTGAGGAATATTTGTACTTCATACTGATGTTCGTTGGCTGAGCAAAGGGAAAGTGCTTGCAAGATTGTGGGACCAAATTGAAGAAGTGAAATTTCTCAGGTCCAAAGCAATGGGCGATTTTTTTAAATCAATGGAATTGCCCGAGCTATTTGTAAGGCTAGCATTTCTGACATCACAGATCACCGTAATAAATTAAATTTGAAATTGCAAGGGCGTTTTCAAATTTGACCAACCCAGATGAAAGAAGTTAGTGGTTTTGAATTTAACCTGCACTTATTTATTACTCAACAGAATCTGTCAAATTTTACTCACATCCCAGCCCTTGCAAAGGCTGCACAAAAACTTCGAGTGCTGGTCACAAGTGAGCAATTCAATCTATTGTTAGAAAAGTTGAAGTTAGATTTCACATATTATTTTAAAGATATTCACAGTCTTACTTCTGTTTCACTTTTTGTTGAAAACCCCTTTATGTGCGACATCTCCACTGTAGCCGCACAGATTGGTGCTGGGTCGCTTAAAAGGAGTCATTCTCAAGTTTGTGGTCTGGGGTTTAATCCCCACCAAGGCAGATAACATTGCCACTCTTGCGACATTAATGGTGCCAAGCTGTATCATCCACATATGATGTTCCCTTGAGTTATCCAAGTGTGTGGAAAGAGGCGATTTGATGTGTAGGGAATCAGCTTATACTCCTTAAGAATAATCCCTGGCCTTGTGATTTCATCCTGCGAAGTCCACACCATCGTCACATTGTGATGGAAGTTTGCCAGAAAGGAAAATAAAATCCCTAAAGTTAAAGATGTCATTAGTAGGTGCAGATGAAGGTATAGTGCAGCTTGAAATCATCAAAATTCAGCAAAACATAAGATTGCTTTATCTACTGAATTCAGAGGAATTTACACAACTATGGAAATGTTGTAAATAGATATATTCCAAGCCTTTGGGTCTCTAGCTATCCTCTCCAACTCTTTCAAACCCCTTTCAGTCTTTATTATATCTCTTTTGGCAACTCTTCTCTTTTTTGTCTTTGATCCTCTCGGGTGTCCATGTCGGGGATCGTCTTGTTATATCTGGCATGGGTTTTCGTATCGGGCATTGAACAGCTTTATCTTTTGTTTGTGATGCAATATTATACATTCATCTAGCTTTTAATTTTGTTTTTTAGGACCCTTTCCTAATAGTTTTGACACTTCATATTTAACATTCTCAATTTATTAAATGAAGAAAAATGCTAGAGTCAGGTGCCAGTATTGGTTTAAAAAATACTCTTATGCAATTCACTAGAAAATATTTGTTTTCAAAATAGTATTATATAATTCACTAGAAAATATTGGTTTACAAAATAGTATTATATAATTCACTAGACAACATTGGTTTACAAAATAGTATTATATAATTCACTAGACAACATTGGTTTACAAAATAGTATTATATACCACAACTTATATAATTCACTAGACAACATTGGTTTACAAAATAGTATTATATAATTCTCTAGACAATATTGGTTTACAAAATAGTATTATATAATTCACTAGACAACATTGGTTTACAAAATAGTATTATATAATTCTCTAGACAATATTGGTTTACAAAATAGTATTATATAATTCACTAGACAACATTGGTTTACAAAATAATATTATATAATTCACTAGACAACATTGGTTTACAAAATAATATTATATAATTCACTAGACAACATTGGTTTATAAATTATTCTTTCGTAATTCACCAGACAGTATGGGGTTACAAAATATTATAATTTGATCTCATTCAACAGAGCTCTAACCCGTGTTAGGCAGTATGGGGAAGTGGCCAACTTGCTGCAGGGAGTGCTCAATGTTTTGGAACATTTTGAAAAATACATGGAGATACCACAGATAAAACAGTTGGCTGATAGGTGAGTACATCAGTACTAGATCTTTATTATTACACAAATCCTGGATAATTTGTAAAGTATACTCGAGTAACTTAGTGACACCAATACTGATACATTTTCATCCCCAATTATTTATGACTAGTTGCCAGTATCTAGGTATAAATCTCAAGGGATAATTGAGTTTTTCCACTTATCCTCGTTCCCAATACATGAAATCGGTAATATAAATAGAATTTTAATTTTATTTTAAATCATAAGTCATTTTAACTTCTCCTGTTCTTTACCTTTCAAAAGTTTAAAAAAAATGAAGTTTAGATCTTGTCTAACCTTCTTCTTACTTAGTGATGCCTGGAAAGAAACACTTTTCCTTATGATGCTTTAGATCAGTGGGCCTCAAAGTACAGCCCGCTGGGCCAGATCTGGCCCACCAATTGTTCTTAACCCGGCTCACCTTGCCACCTTATGGATACCCGGGTAGCAATAATAAATATTGAAATGAATATTGGCCATCATTTTAGTCAATAGCAGGCCTATACTTGCCACTTAAATAGTAAAAAATGTATGTAGTTTAAAATTGTTCTTCATTTTAAATATTTATTTTTCATGTTTTATTTCAATTCAAATAATAATATGTGCAGTGTGCATAGGAATTTGTTTCAAAGGATGTTGTTGTTGTTCTTCTGTCGAAATTTATTTATTTATTTATTTATTTAGGCATTTTTATATAGCGCTTACCTTAAAGCTCTAAGCGCTTTACAATTATTAAAAACATGTAAACTAAGTAAAATAATAATGAGACACCAGGATAGTAACTACTATACTATAGAAACAATTAAAATGGCTATAAAACGAGGACACTTTGGCACGTTTTGGCCTATACTACAGGACATCAACTAGGACCAACGAGTCATCCAGTTAGGGGGAGGGTGGGTTACGGTGAGCTCCTATGTGGCTTGCTAGACCGATCCATGCTCGGAACAATCTATGGCAACACGGGCAGGGGATAGTTGCTGCTGTCGGTGATCTGATGTTGCTCTTTCGGGCAAGCCGGCGTGTCTCAGCTGTGATTATCCTATTAGCTTCATGGGATTTAGCCCCCTTCTTGACAGCTGTTCTCCACCTGGCTCTGTCCTGGGCTGTCTGCACCCATTGAGTAGGGTTGATGCTGAAGGTCTTTAGAGCTGCTTTCAGTGAGTCTTTGTAACACTTTTTTTGACCTCCATGGGAGCGCTTGCCTATCAAAGGATAGTCTCTGGGGGACAGTGAACTAGCCAGTGAATAAGTTTGAGGATCCCTGCTCTGGGGGACATAGAGCTAGCCAGAGAATAAGTTTGAAGATCCCTGCTTTAGGCCTTGAGCTTAGATATCTCAGCTCATTAAAACAGAATGTTTAGATATGGGTCTTTCATTTTTATCATTCAAACCAGATTTATAGATATGGATCTTTTATTTTGATCATTTATTCATAGATTGTTTCATTTCTCTTTTAATATGGTTGACTTTGTACCACGCTTCGAGCCTTTGTGGATTAAGCATGATTTTCAAATAAACTTTATTATTATTTATTATTATTATTTAGACCAGATTTTTAGATATGCGTCTTTATCATTAAGAGCACACAATATCTTCTCTATCAAGTTGTATTTTTAAAAATACACACAAGGAATCTCAAATATTTTTGTGTGTTATTGTATTCAGGGTTAAGCAAATCCAGTCTGACCTCAGTACTCAAATTATTGCTGATTTTGAGGAGGCGTTTCAAGGCTCTGGTGCTAAGGTATGTTCTACATCTAATGGGTGATAAGGTATGTTCTACATCTAATGAGTGCTAAGATATGTTCTAAATCTAATGGGTGATAAGGTATGTTCTACATCTAATGAGTGCTAAGGTATTTTCTACATCTAATGGGTGATAAGGTATGTTCTACATCTAATGAGTGCTTAGGTATGTTCTAAATCTAATGGGTGATAAGGTATGTTCTACATCTAATGAGTGCTAAGGTATTTTCTACATGTAATGGGTGAAAAGGTATGTTCTACCTCTAATAGGTGACAAGGTATGTTCTACAACTAATATAAATTTTGAAATTCGGCTCAACGTGGAAGTATTAAATTTATTTTTGATTTTTCTTTGTCTTTACAACAGCCAGTGGACCACAGGAGATTAACCATTTCCTTCCAAACCTTCTGGTCTCTAGCTATTCTCTCTAACCATTTCTAGTCTTTGTAACATCTTTGTTGACAACTCTTCTCCAGGAGTTTTTGGGTCTTACTATATGCTTGTTCCTTGTTGGCTCCGAACAAACGCTTGTCTTGTTATATTGGCATCATAAGTGTTGGGTATTTTTTTCCAGCTGTTTTTTAAATAATGCTGTTAGCATACAACTAAAGTATAGTGAAATCTTGAAATAACGAACTCCCTGGCATATGTGTTAACTCAACCCAGCACAGCACAATTTTTTTAAAACTGGCTGAACCATCAAATATATCCTGCTTTGGTTTGCTCCAATGGTTTGTGCTATTTAAAGGTTTGCCTGGAGTAAACTGACAATAAACCTTTGACACTTGTTGAGAGGTTGAACATTTGGAGCTGTCATTGGAAATGGCGATGTTACATAAAGAGGACTTGATCATTTCATCAATTGTGTTTTACATAATACTATACAAAACACTCTCTCAGAGTGTTTTGCTGTTACTTGTATTGTCCATGGCTAATGGTTTTCTCTCCACTGTCCAGTACGGTCCTGGTAACCAGAAGCAACTCCATGATGCATGTTATGTGGTCAACATCCTTGACCCCAAGGTCAAACGTGACTTGCTCAACTGGTTTGTCAAACTGCAGCTGTCTGAGTACGTGGTGCTGTTTGCTGAGGACCAAGATGTGAGTCTATGAGATTTTAAGTGCACATTTTGTCTGATCTCCTCTTTGAGATGTCAATAAGTTGAACATAAGATGTTCCTTTATAGCATAAATTTATGGTGCCACGTAAGCTATGATTATACATTAAATTTATTGTATTATGTAATCTTTGATTTATACAATCAATTTATGGTGCCATGTAAGCTTTGATTATACATTAAATTTATGGTATTATGTAATCTTTGATTCATACAATAAATTTATGGTGCCACGTAAGCTATGATTATACATTAAATTTATGGTATTATGTAATCTTTGATTCATACAATAAATTTATGGTGCCATGTAAGCTTTGATTATACATTAAATTTATTGTATTATGTAATCTTTGATTCATACAATAAATTTATGGTGCCATGTCAGCTTTGATTATACATTAAATTTATTGTATTATGTAATCTTTGATTTATACAATAAATTTATGGTGCCATGTAAGCTTTGATTATACATTAAATTTATTGTATTATGTAATCTTTGATTTATACAATCAATTTATGGTGCCATGTAAGCTTTGATTATACATTAAATTTATTGTATTATGAAATCTTTGATTTATACAATAAATTTCTGGTGCCATGTCAGCTTTGATTATACATTAAATTAATTGTATTATGTAATCTTTGATTTATACAATAAATTTCTGGTGCCATGTCAGCTTTGATTATACATTAAATTTATTGTATTATGTAATCTTTGATTTATACAATAAATTTATGGTGCAATTAAGTTTTGATTTATACAAGGGAGAGAATAATCAAGGCTTTACTTAACTGTAACAATAATTTTGTGTCCAAAGTTTCTAGACCAAATATTTCAAGAAATTTTCTGAAATGTTTTATGTTATTTTATTTTTTTATTAAATCCCACATTTCTTATTAATCTCTTCATGCAGGTGGCATGGCTTGACAAAATTGACCGCAGGTACGCCTGGATCAAGAGGGCTTTGGTGGACTTTGAAGAGAAGTTTGGTCATCTGTTCCCTCCAGACTGGGAAGTTAGTGAGAGGATTTGTGTGGAATTCTGTCATTTATCAAGGTTAGTCTGTGTCTTTATGACATGTCACATTTATGTTGTCTGTATTAAATGTCATATTTATGTTGTCTGCATTAAATGTCACATTTATGTTGTCTATATTAAATGTCATATTTATGTTGTCTATATTAAATGTCACATTTATGTTGTCTGTATTAAATGTCACATTTATATTGTCTGTATTAAATGTCACATTTATGTTGTCTGTATTAAATGTCACATTTATGTTGTCTGTATTAGATGTCACATTTATGTTGTCTGTATTAGATGTCACATTTATGTAGTCTGTATTAGATGTCACATTTTTATCAAATGATAATGTAAACCACAGGTATTTTTGGGATATGATGTTACTTAATCTCAGTAAGGTCGCCTCTACTGTTTTAGAATCTCAAATAACTAAACTTAGTTTAAATGCCTTGTCTCTCACTTTGCTACTGTTACTGTGATGTGAACTGCTGACAACAGCTTACTGTCAAGCTGGTGTGGACTGCTGCTAACAGCTTACTGTCACGCTGGTGTGGACTGCTGCTAGCTGCTTACTGTCATGCTGGTGTGGACTGCTGCTAGCTGCTTACTGTCATGCTGGTGTGAACTGCTGCTAACAGCTTACTGTCATGCTGGTGTGGACTGCTGCTAGCTGCTTACTGTCATGCTGGTGTGAACTGCTGCTAACAGCTTACTGTCACGCTGGTATGGACTGCTGCTAGCTGCTTACTGTCATGCTGGTGTGAACTGCTGCTAACAGCTTACTGTCATGCTGGTGTGGACTGCTGCTAGCTGCTTACTGTCATGCTGGTGTGAACTGCTGCTAACGGCTTACTGTCATGCTGGTGTGGACTGCTGCTAGCTGCTTTCTGTCATGTTGGTGTGAACTGCTGCTAACAGCTTACTGTCACGCTGGTATGGACTGCTGCTAGCTGCTTACTGTCATGCTGGTGTGAAATGCTGCTAACAACTTACTGTCACACTGGTGTGGACTGCTGCTAGCTGCTTTCTGTCATGCCGGTGTGAACTGCTGCTAACAGCTTTCTGTCTCGCTGGTGTGGACTGCTACTAGCTGCTTACTGTCATGCTGGTGTGAACTGCTGCTGACAACTTACTGTCACACTGGTGGGGACTGCTGCTAGCTGCTTACTGTCATGCTGGTGTGAGTTGCTGCTACCTGCTTACTGTCATGCTGGTTTGGGCTGCTGCTAACAGCTTACTGTCACGCTGGTGTCCTGGTGTGGACTGCTGCCAGCAGCCTTCTGTCATGCTGGTTTGATCTGCTTCTAGCTGCTTACTGTCATGCTGGTGTGAGTTCTTCTTCTATATATTAAGGGCCCACGATCAATTTATTGATCATTTTGGCTTCTATACATGTAGAAGGGATTTGCAATGTTTCTGTGCCTGGTGATGATGAGGGTATTTCAATGATGACAAGTGCCACTTTGTGAGGGAATCATGCACAGGGGGGGGTTGAAAGGCTTGAGGCAATAGACACAAATGTGTCAAGTGTTGTCGTCTCAACTGTTCCTTTTGAAAGCTTGTTCCAGGCCTTATTGTCTTTAGCAGGAGTGAGCAGTTCCTATACTGGCTTCTTGCTGGTATGAGCCTGAATTGCCTGTCATGGCCTCGTCGCTGTCTATGAGGAAGAGGGACAAGTTTCTTTTTAATATTGGAACAGTGGACTAGCCCATTATTTATCTTATACAATATGGATAGCCTGGATAGTCGTCGTTCCTACAATGGCGACTAGCCTAGTGTTTCCAGCATGCTGCCAACACTAGAGGTATTCCTGTATCGGTTCACGACAAAGCGTGCGCCCGTCGCTGGAGCACCTCCAACCTGTCAATGTTCTTCTGAGTAAATGGGTCCCAGACTGAAGATGCATAATCTAAAACCAGACGGACAAAGGCTTTATATACTCTTTCTTTCACACTGGAGTTTCTAATCTTTAGATTACGCCTCAAGAACCCCAGGGTCTTGTTTGCCTGGTTACACACATAGTTAATATGCTCGTCCCAGTGGACCTCTCTTATAATGGTAACACCCAGGTACTTAACGGAGGAAACTGGCTCAAGTATATGGCCATGTAGATGACCAAACTTCTCTTCAAATTCCACCAGAGCCCTCTTACTGTCATGCTAATGCGAGTTGCTGCTAGCAGCTTACTGTCATGATTGTGTGGACTGCTGCAAACGGCACACTATATTTCTAAGCTAAATATTTTCCTTGTCAACATAAATATAAGAATGTAAAGAAGCCATTTCTCTGTTTTTCAGAAAAGAGCTTGGTAAAATAATGCAGAGACGTCGCATGGAGATTGACGTGAAACTCTTGCTGTTTGCAATTCAGAGAACCAGTAACTTTGAAGCACTGATAGCCAAACGCTTCACAGGTATCACAATGCAGAAACCACAGGTGGGTCACTCTAACATTGATGTAAGCTTTGTTGTGCTTACACTTTCCTCATCGCTGGATATTTTCCTCTGTCACAAAGTTTCTACTCAAATTTATTTTAGAACTATGAATCTTTAAAAGATAAAACAATGTGCTCATTTGTCAAAGATGGTAAGTTGAAGATGTCTGGGTTAAAACAGTTTATGTTACTGTACCTCATATTTAACAAAACAAATCCCCCCCCCCCCTCTTTCCCCTTTAATAGAATGATATTAGCACAGATAGAGGCATGCAAGCACATTAATTTGTCCCACCCTCCCCCCATTAATAGAATGATATTAGCACAGATAGAGGCATGCAAGCACATTAATTTGTCCCACCCTCCCCCATTAATAGAATGATATTAGCACAGATAGAGGCATGCAAGCACATTAATTTGTCCCACCCTCCCCCCATTAATAGAATGATATTAGCACAGATAGAGGCATGTATGCACAATAATTTGTCCCACCCAACCCCCATTAATAGAATGATATTAGCACAGATAGAGGCATGTATGCACAATAATTTGTCCCACCCCCATTAATAGAATGATATTAGCACAGATAGAGGCATGTATGCACAATAATTTGTCCCACCCAACCCCCATTAATAGAATGATATTAGCACAGATAGAGGCATGTATGCACAATAATTTGTCCCACCCTACCCCCTTTAATAGAATGATATTAGCACAGATAGAGGCATGTATGCAATATAATTTGTCCCACCCGACCCCCATTAATAGAATGATATTAGCACAGATAGAGGCATGTATGCACAATAATTTGTCCCACCCGACCCCCATTAATAGAATGATATTAGCACAGATAGAGGCATGCAAGCACATTAATTTGTCCCACCCTACCCCCATTAATAGAATGATATTAGCACAGATAGAGGCATGTATGCACAATAATTTGTCCCACCCTACCCCCATTAATAGAATGATATTAGCACAGATAGAGGCAAGTATGCACAATAATTTGTCCCACCCTCCCGGCTTTAATAGAATGATATTAGCACAGATAGAGGCATGTATGCACAATAATTTGTCCCACCCTACCCCCATTAATAGAATGATATTAGCACAGATAGAGGCAAGTATGCACAATAATTTGTCCCACCCTCCCGGCTTTAATAGAATGATATTAGCACAGATAGAGGCATGTATGCACAATAATTTGTCCCACCCTACCCCCTTAAATAGAATGATATTAGCACAGATAGAGGCATGTATGCACAATAATTTGTCCCACCCTACCCCCTTTAATAGAATGATATTAGCACAGATAGAGGCAAGTATGCACAATAAATTGTCCCACCCTCCTGGCTTTAATAGAATGATATTAGCACAGATAGAGGCATGTATGCACAATAATTTGTCCCACCCTACCCCCTTAAATAGAATGATATTAGCACAGATAGAGGCATGTATCCACAATAATTTGTCCCACCCTACCCCCATTAATAGAATGATATTAGCACAGATAGAGGCATGTATGCACAATAATTTGTCCCACCCTACCCCCATTAATAGAATGATATTAGCACAGATAGAGGCATGTATGCACAATAATTTGTCCCACCCTCCCGGCTTTAATAGAATGATATTAGCACAGATAGAGGTATGGATGTTCCCATCAATAAAAAAACTCAGGTTTAAACAAAAATGATGCCTGTTATTTTTAAACATCAAATTATAATCAGATTACAATAGTACTAGAAGTTGTTTATCATTTTCTCTTTTCTCATGAAAGCTGTTGTAAACTTTCTTTGTGTTTTTTCTGTTCACTCCCCTGGTGCTCCAGCCAAAACGACCACCCCCACCCCCCTCTGCTAGTCATTCCCCTCCTGTCTCATCCAACCCGTTTGAGCAGCAGGCTTTGAATCCCTTTGAGCAGCCGGCAGAAACTATCAATAGTGATGATGTCAAGGTAACTGTGCCACTATTTCATTTTTTAATGAAAAAATTATTCATACTTATGTCATGAGGAAAAATAACCTCTCAAGGCTTTGAATCCCTTTGAGCAGCCCGCAGAAACTATCAATAGTGATGATGTCAAGGTAACTGTGCCACTATTTCATTTTTTAATGAAAAAATTATTCATACTTATGTCATGAGGAAAAATAACCTCTCAACAGTGGGCATCTGTGTGCATGTGAAACTGTGTTTTAAAATTCGAGCTCTTTAATTTTACATGCTTGTTATAGATGACATCACATCTGGCATAGTGAAATGGTGCAGCATGCCAGCTTGTTATAGATGACACCACCTCTTGCCTAGTGCTATGGTGTAGCATGACAGCTTTTTATAGATGACACCACATCTGGCCTATTGAAATGGTGCAGCATGCTGGCTTGTAATAGATGACACCACATCTGGCCTAGTGCAATGGTGCAGCATGCTAGCTTGTAATAGATGACACCACATCTGGCCTATTGAAATGGTGCAGCATGCTAGCTTGTAATAGATGACACCACATCTGGCCTATTGAAATGGTGCAGCATGCTGGCTTGTAATAGATGACACCACATCTGGCCTAGTAAAATGGTGCAGCATGCCAGCTTGTTAAAGATGACACCATATCCTACAAACTTGTTTATATCCAACATCCCCTGTAAGCGCCTTTCATTCTAGCAGTAGAAATGTTATAGAAAACATTTTTTGTTTGGTTTAAATTGAATGTTTTTCATGTCTTGTGTATCTGTTGAGTTTAAATAAATTTTGGTTACACTCAAAGAGGTATTTACCTTCAATGGTGTGTGTTTGTGCAGTTCTCTTCTAATTGATATATCATACTTATATTTTTATCTTGAATAATTTATCATGATTAATCAAATGTAAAATATTATTCAATATAGTTTATTAGATTTAACATAGTTCATATGTACACCAACTATTTAACATAGTTCAGATGTACACTTATTATTTAACATAGTTCAGATGTACACTTATTATTGAACATGGTTCAGATGTACACTTATTATTTAACATGGTTCAGATGTACACTTATTATTGAACATGATTCAGATGTACACTAATTAATTAACATGGTTCAGTTTCACACTTATTATTTAACATAGTTCAGATGTACACTTATTATTTAACATAGTTCAGATGTACACTTATTATTGAACATAGTTCAGATGCAAACTTATTATTTAACATAGTTCAGATGTACACTTATTATTTAACATAGTTCAGATGTAAACTTATTATTTAACATGGTTCAGATGTCCATTTATTATTTAACGTAGTTCAGATGTACACTTATTATTGAAAATAGTTCAGATGTACACTTATTATTGAACATGGTTTAGATGTATTCATATTATTTAAGGGTTTAAGGACAAGTTTTCTTGCTATAAAATACAAATATTTTTACATTTATTTGTCTTAGAATGTCAAGTTTTAAATTAAAAAATTATTTCAGAATGTTCCAGAGAATGTCAGCCATTTTGCTGGCATCATTTCTCAGTGCTTTGAAGCTCACCTGAATGTATACATAGAGAACCAAGATAGGTACATTGCTAGCATTATCTATTCTTATATACATAGTGAACGAAGATAGGTACATTGCTAGCATTATCTATTCTTATATACATAGAGAACCAAGATAGGTACATTGCTAGCATTATCTATTCTTATATACATAGAGAACCAAGATAGGTACATTGCTAGCATTATCTATTCTTATATACATAGAGAACCAAGATAGGTACATTGCTAGCACTATCTATTCTTGTATACATAGAGAACCAAGATAGGTACATTGCTAGCATTATCTATTCTTATATACATAGAGAACCAAGATAGGTACATTGCTAGCATTATCTATTCTTATATGTGTAAAAAAAACTGAGTGACTCTTCTCTCTTAATTTAATCAATTTTAAGTCAGAGTATTGTTTTCTGTGTGTGGTAAACCAGGTCAGGATGTTCAACATCAATCAAAGTTTTATCTTCTGCTTAAGCTCCTTTTAAAAACACCACTTTTAAGCATCAACACTTTTTGATAAAGTGTCAAATGTTAAAGTTTTAACCATTAGATTTTGTTTGTTAATGAGGAACCTGGCAGAGCTGATGAGCAGGTTTCAAGAAGATATCCAAGCCCACGGCACACCACGCATGGATGGGGAGGAAAACAGCAACGTTTTGCCCAGCTGTGCTGACCTCTTTGTCTTCTACAAGAAATGTATGGTGCAGTGTTCACAACTCAGTACTGGTCAGCCACTTCTTGACCTTACCAAGACATTCCAGAAATATCTTAAGGAATATGCTCATAGGATCCTTTTGGCTAATTTACCCAAGTAAGATTTTTTAGAAATACAGATCTTTCATTAACTATTTCTCTTGGATCAACTGAGTGCAATTTCAGATTTTTAATTTTGAAAAATGTAGCTGTAAATTTGGAGCTTGTATTGTGACTAGTAAGTCAAATGACGCTGACTGGTTTTTTTTTAAACTTTGCTAGACACACATATAATTCTCAAAAACTTGTATTGTCAATAAATGAGTGCTTCCTACAGAATTAAAATCAACACGCCAACAAGACTTATTGAAGCAAAACATGTGCCTATCAGGTCCAAAAAGGACAGTGTGTAAACACTATAGAACAGGGCGAACTGTATCGCTATATTTTTGTGCTGAATGTTAGTCAAATCCGCACATCCATATGGATTGTTTTCAGGCTTACCATAGCTAAACCCAGATGAAAAGATATGACAAATTTATAGTATATTTTCACTTTACCATAATAAATGTTAGTACATACTAGGATTACAGTGCAAAGATTTTCTAATAGCAACAGATTGTTTCCAGTGGAAATAGTTAGTTTTTTCCGGATATTTTGTGTGTGTCTGTGACAAGGGATAATGTGCTCTGGTGTTTCATTTTTAAACGATTTTTTTTACTGTGATCTTCATTAAATGTGATGCACATATGGATATAGTTCAGAAAAGAAATAAATTGTTACACATTGGATTATATATTTCTCTTCGTGTGACTTGGAATGAACATTTTGTGAACAGTTGGTGATTTTTTTTTTCATAATTTTTATTTTCCTTAAATCATAATTACATTTATATATTAAAATTTAAACCCAGGTCTGTATTGTCTGTACAGAGCATGCATTCTCCTAATTCCATACCAAACTTAAAATTTTTGATGGAAAAACAAAAAAGTTATGATGGTTTAGAGATAGTTTTAGTAGTGGTAACAAATATGCAAAATAGAAAATTCCGTCAGAATGCTGAAATTAATTCCGGAGAGAAAGAGTTAAAATAGAAATTGTATATCTATGCTCCAATAACCATCTTGATGAATTCAATTCAATATTCTTGCCATGTCATGATTAAAGCTTATAACATCAGAAGTTGCAGTACAACTTGATTTGAACATCATTTGAATGTCATTATGTAAGCTGGTATTAGAAGTTGTAATTGAACTAGTTTGAGTATTTAAATGTGTACAGTAAGTTAATAATTGTTTTTAAAAATGTAATTGTAGTATTCTAACTTTATGATGGAAAAAAATGGTGACAAATTATTTCCATTAAAATGTTGTATTACACATATTATACCCTACTAGAAATATCTTTTGTCAGGTGTTGTTTTACAAAAAAATATACCCTAAAGATATCTTTTGTTAGATGTTGTCTTACACCATTTACACCCTAGATACATCTTTTGCCAGATGTCTTACACCAATCATACCCTAAGAGATATATTTTCACAGGCTGAGTAAAGATATGGGGAACATCAGCTCTGCGTCAGGTCTTATCCAGAGCATTCTGAAAGAAGGGGAGGTAACCAAACTAACAGAAGATGAACAGTGCAGGATCTGCAGTCTGCTGTGTACAGCTGAGTACTGCATGGATACCACGCAGCAGCTGGAGGAGAAGCTCAGGGAGAAAGTTGACGCAGCTTTCAAGTCTGCAGTCGCACTGAATACTGAGCAGGATATGTTTCATACGTGAGTAGCAGGACCAATGAAATATAAGAACATGAAAGAACTAAGACTTCTAAATACATACAAGACCTAAGACATCTAAATACATACAAAAACTAAGACATCTAAATACATACAAGAACTAAGACAACTAAATACATACAAGAAGGGGGTAATAAGGGGAGAGACTGCAATCAGGTTAGTACAAAATAAAATGAGTAAAACAGAGTATGGTTAAACCTGAAAAATTAAACGCAACGAAACAGCGAACGTGTCGGCAGAAAGCCTTCGTCAGTGAACAAAACAACAGAAAAAACGTTATAAAAATAAGAAATAGCACTTAGCTGGTAAGTAGTATCTGTGGGCAGCAATAGAAGTGTGGCAGAAGGAAAATGAGTGAGAGTTTAAATAAGCAGCGGCGAAAAAAAGAGGGGAGAAAATAGTTCACTGTGATAGGTCAGAACGTGGAGGGGCGGAGCTAGGGTCAAGCTGTGAACAGAGACATAACATTAATCCCACCTGGCGTCAAAGTGCCATAAGTCAGGATAAGTCTGTGTTCCAAATTGACCCGGCTGGTGGTGTTAGTGCTAGCCACAATCGCACTTATTGAAAAGTCCGCCTTGCCCCGGTGGTCGCTACTATTAAAGTGTTTTGAGACGGGACACTGTTTATCTTGTGTAATGTTTCGGAGGTGTTCGGTCACCTGTCCGAGAGACGGCGTCCAGTCTCCCCTATGTATGTCATCTGACAGCGGGTGCAGACAATGGCGTAGATAACGTTGCGGCTTTTACAGAGGAAACCGTCGCGTATCTGAAAACTGCCCTTGGGGAAACGTATGCGTTCAGTCTGGACGACAAAAGGGCACGTGTTGCAACGACTGCGTCCACACGGCTTGGTCCCAAAGTGGGAGGGGGGAGCATTGATACGACTGCGTACAAGCAGGTCTCTCAGATTTTTATCCCGTCTGAAAACAATGAGAGGTGGGGAAGAGAAAATTTCTCGTGTGTCGGTGTCTGCGAGTAGTATAGATCGATGTTTAAGGAAAACACGTTTAGCAATCAGATTGTGAGGGTGATAAGTTAAAATGAGTTTTGTCCTGTCAACATTGTCGCTCAGACGTGGTCTGAAGGCATCAGCACGTGTAATATTCTTAACCCTTTGGAGGGCTGATGAAAGTACTGTCTCCGGGTAAGACCTACACCGGAAAAAGTCTATCATTTCAAGTGCCTTGTCCCAAAAGTCCTCATCCGACCGACAAAGTCGACGAAGACGAAGTAATTGAGAGAAAGGAATAGAGTCCTTACAGGATTTAGGATGGGATGAAGAGTAGAGTAGATAGCTATGGCTGTCAGTGGGCTTAAAGTAGGCAGAGGTGTGTAGGGTGTCTTTGTGAAGAGTGACTGTAATGTCTAAGAAATTGACTGAGGTCTCAGAGATAAGAGATGTGAATTTAATGGAGGGGTGAAAGGAGCCTACAAAGTTAATGAACAGGTCAAGTTCACTCCTCTCCATAGTGGTGACCCCTATACCATCATCTATGTACCTCTTATAGAATTCAGGGAGGCGTCCAGTATAGCTGCTTATATACATACAAGAACTAAGACATCTAAATACATGCAAGAACTAAGATATCTAAATGCATACAAGAACTAAGACAACTAAATACATACATAACTTTAGCAACACAACTTTAGCAACAAAATAAGTCTGCTGTCCAGCACTGCTAACCAATGATCAAGTTTAGAAATGTTTGTCTTTATTTGTTATAATTTGTGTCTTTGTTTTCCTTCACTATTGTGAAGTGTTTATTTGACTGTAGTAGAGTAAACTTGTTTGATTGTATCTCACAGTGTAATCTCTAACTGCATACTCTTGTTTTGATTGTATCTTACAGTTTGATCTCTAGCTGTATACAGTTGTTTGATTGTATCTCACAGTGTGATCCTTAACTGTATACAGTTGTTTGATTGTATCTCACAGTGTAATCTCTAACTGTATACACTTGTTTGATTGTATCTTACAGTGTGATCTCTAACTGTACACACTTGTTTGATTGTATCTTACAGTGTGATCTCTAACTGTATACAGTTGCTAGTACAAGATCTGGAGACAGCTTGTGAGCCAGCTCTGACCGCTATGACTAAGGTAATATGCTTACAGTGACCAGGGTTGTGGGTAAGGGTGAGCCAGGCCTGACTGCTATGACTAAGGTAATATGTTTACAGTGACCAGAGGTGTGGGTTAGGGTTAGGGTGAGCCAGGCCTGACTGCTATGACTAAGGTAATATGCTTACATTGACCAGGGGTGTATTATCTGTCCGTCCACTCACAGTTTAGCAGACTTTACATGTGGCCCTCCACTCACAGTTTAGCAGACTTTACATGTGGCCCTCCACTCACAGCTTAGCAGACTTTACATGTGGTCCTTCACTCACAGTTTAGCAGACTTTACATGTGGGCCTCCACTCAGAGTTTAGCAGACTTAACATCTGGATCTCCACTCACAGTTTAGCAGACTTTAAATTTGTCCGTCCACTCACAGTTTAGCAGACTTTACATCTGGGCCTCCACTCAGAGTTTAGCAGACCATAGATTAAATCCCGACAGACACTTAAATTCAATGTAACGAGCATGTTTCCATCTCTGCACAGATGCCCTGGTCCAACATCGAGGCTGTGGGTGATCAGAGTGGTTACGTGACGGCCATCACATCACACCTCAAACAAAACATTCCCATCATCAGAGACAACTTGGCCTCCTCCAGGAAATACTTTACTCAGTTCTGTGTGAAATTTGCCAAGTACGTTTTTGTTGAATGGGTAATAAGATGACCATCTTTAAATTCAAACAGAAATCCTTAAAAGTGTAAAACATATGAGCTCATATGTTGACCCCATAATATAATGAGCTCATATGTTGACCCCATAATATAATTTGCCAATGTAAATAGTGTGAGCAATAGGGCACATAGGAATGTGATACGATGGCCAGCCTTATGTGACGATCAATGTTTATTATTTAATTAACAATAGCCGTGTCATCTTCTTCTGGTAACATTAGAATCTCGTAGAGCATAAGTTGGACTACGGCCTCGGAGATCTCATATTAATAGCAATTTTATCTTTTTCTGGTAACATATTAGAATCTCATAGAGCGTAAGGTGGACTAGAACCTCGGCGATCTCATATTAACAGCAAGTTTTTCTTTTCCAGTTAACATTTTAGAATCTCATATGGCATAAGGTGGACTAGGACCTCAGTGATCTCATATTAATAGCAATTTCATTCTTCAGTGTACCTGGAGGAATTTTTTTTTACATCCCCTATGGCCATCTCATAGGCTGACCACCAAACTTATCCCCCTGAAATATTTCCCCAAAAAGTTGGCTTAAGACCGCAAGCAAATGCCTAGATTATCAAATCATTAATCTTATTTTAGTATCAAATGTGTGTGTGATAATATTTGTGAAAAAATAGTAGTTCATCAGCATCATACGCAAGAAGTTTAAATGAGGAATCCAATTGCAAACCCTGCTAAGTCGTTTTTTTTTTTTTTAATGAGTTACACCCCTTGGCTCCTCTATGAAGTGCTATTTCACAATATTTTACTAGTTTTTAAAATCAAAACCCGCCAAGTTCGCTAATTTTGCTATTTAAAATACGATTGTCTTGCAAAACCGGCTAAGTTGCATCGGCATTCACTTTCAAAGCCTACTAAGTTACCAGGCAATGGCAGCATTTGTTTTAAACAAAATTTGTGAAGAAGAGCCAATCACAATTTAGCTTGCCGACACATGACTTTCTTTCGACACTATTCAAGATGGCTGACACAACACGAGCCTTAGTAAAATCGGCAAAAACGCTCACATATCACCATTAAAACTTACAAAAAGAAAAGAACTCCACATTCAAAGGATACCTCTGCTGATAATGTTTTTTTTATAAAGTTTATTACTTTATGCAAGACGGCGCCCCCACCTTAAATGCATTGTTATTGTTACGCCAATGTAACCCAATAAAATTGTCAACCCGTGGTTTTTTTCCCTGGCCTTAATAATGAATTGAAGACCTATTGTTTTAATATAGATATATATGTGTTGTGGTCTGTTACTTTGTGTTGTTATATAGCAATTTTATGTGTTGTGGTCTGTTACTAGTGTTACTTGATTGTTTAGTTAAGGTACCATAATATAAGACTTCGGTTCATTAAAATCATGTAGTACAGTTTAAAGAAAATGTAAAAGAGCAACTCTATCTATATCTTTTAAATTTGTTGTGGGCTGTCAAACTTCTTAAGTGATTTAAACCACTTTAAAATGTTCATAAGTATTTTAACCTCTTTCAAAAGCTGCTAAGTGTGTAAACCATTTTCAAAAGCTGCTAAGTAATAACTTTATCATCCATTATAAATTCAAAAATGCCCATTTAACTATATTTTTTGTTAAAAAATACATACTTTACAGCTAATCTTTCAACTGGAACAAAAACCAGAATCCTATAATTAGCGCATCATTGTGTTTAAGAAAAATGTGTTTTTCCCAAAATCAATCTAAAGTTACTTAGCAGGGTTTGCAATTGGACTCCTCAAATTTGCCCGGGCTGTCCACGCCTAATGGTCAGTGGAAGCTAGGCAGCTGTTCATGGGTGAAGGTAAAACTATTTGAATAAACCCTTCTTGGACTCTGACCATGCTAAAAAAATTGTCATGGTCTTCTTGGGTCTAGCACTAAACAAGACTCTAATCTTGCCACACAAAAAAAACCTCTTCCCCTCTAAAGAAAAAATTAAAAAACTTTGTTCTATAAATTATTTTGTATGACATTCAATCCCATATGGCAATAGCGATAATATTTAAAAATAACAGAAGACCATAATTTTAAATGTTACAATTTTATTCTTTACATATTGGCTCTGTGTGATGTCGCGTAGTTATTCTTTACATATTAGCTCTGTGTGTGATGTCACTCAGTTATTCTTTACACATTAGCTCTGTGTGTGATGTCACTCAGTTATTCTTTACATATTACCTCTGTGTGTGATGTCATTCAGTTATTCTTTACATATAGCTCTGTGTGTGATGTCACTCAGTTATTCTTTACATATTAGCTCTGTGTGTGATGTCACTCAGTTATTCTTTACATATTAGCTCTGTGTGTGATTTCACTCAGTTATTCTTTACATATTAGCTCTGTGTGTGATGCCATTCAGTTATTCTTTACATATAGCTCTGTGTGTGATGTCACTCAGTTATTCTTTACATATTAGCTCTGTGTGTGATGTCACTCAGTTATTCTTTACATATTAGCTCTGTGTGTGATGTCACTCAGTTATTCTTTACATATTAGCTCTGTGTGTGATGTCACTCAGTTATTCTTTACATATTAGCTCTGTATGTGATTTCACTCAGTTATTCTTTACATATTAGCTCTGTGTGTGATGTTATTCAGTTATTCTTTACATATAGCTCTGTGTGTGATGTCACTCAGTTATTCTTTACATATTAGCTCTGTGTGTGATTTCACTCAGTTATTCTTTACACATTAGCTCTGTGTGTGATGTCATTCAGTTATTCTTTACATATTTGCTCTGTGTGTGATGTCACACAGCTATTCAGGAGAGAGAGAGAACTATTTTGTATTAATAACTTTCTTTTTTCCCATTCAGTTCTTTCATTCCAAAGTTCATTGGAACATTGTACAAGTGTCGACCTTCTAGCACAGTGGCAGCAGAACAGGTTAGTTGTCTAGTGTAGGTTATGTGGACCTTCTTACACAGTGGCAGCAGAACAGTTTAGTTGTCTAGTGTAGGTTATGTTGACCTTCTAGTACAGTGGCAGTAGGACAGATTAGTTGTCTAGTGTAGGTTATGTCTTATTTATGTCGGCCTTCTAACACAGTGACGACCTTTCAACACAGTGACGACAGAACAGATTATTTTTCTAGTTTAGCTTATGTTTTTCCTAATTAGTCCATGTTAATACAGCTGAGTTATGTTTTCCTCATTAGTCCATGTTAACTCTCTGCTGTCCGACTATAGAGAAATGGTACTTATAAGTACCATAGATTTTGTGTGTGGGTTATTTATTTTTAAAAATATATTTTTAAATAAAAAAAATTATTTATTATATTTTAATAATTTGTTACATTGGTTTAAGTATTTGTAAAAATATTAAAATTATTACAAAATTTGAAATTACTATAAAAACAATGTTTTGGAAACTTATTCAGCGCGGAGCATCCCTTGAAATCTTCGCAGATTTCCAAAAAACAAAATAATATAAGTGTCACAAAAAAATTAATTACTAGAATGAATATTGTCAAATGATTTTAATTTCCCGATTTATCAAGAAGTTATTTGTTTTTCTAAAGTAATGTATCCAAATGGAGACTCTAATCAGGAAATTTATCCCGATTAGCATATAAAAGTTCTGACAATTATCGTAAACAAGTACGCTAAATTTTAATTATCATTTCCCGGCTTTAAAATTAATAATAAAACAATAAAGAGATATTTGTACAATTTTAATTGGCTGAAGTATATATTATCCAATTGTACTTATATTGATTTTCTCTATTTGAATTTTATTGAGTTTCAATAATTTTATAATAAATAAATAGCTTGGCTATGCAAATAAAATATTTTCTAAAAATAGCGGGAAAACTCCAGCCGATGGGAACTTGCATAATTAGAATAAATTTAAAGTTAAGGACTTTTATTAACTAAATATATTTCTTTAAAATATGTTAAAACCAAGAATAATCTCCTAAACTAATAATACATAGTAGTAAAAGAAATGTGTTTAAATTTAATTATCATTATCGCAATTAGTAGAGACTACACCACAGAATAAAAAACAAAAAATGTATGTTTTTATTAAAAGCTCATTAACTCTAATGGGAAGGAGGAGAGAGAGAGATAAAAATGCATATATGCAGACTATAAATTGTATTAGATGATGAAGTATTTTATTTAAATAAATTTTAAATCTTTAATAAAAAGGAGAGTTTTTGTTTTTTTTCCTTCATACTGTGTGAAATTTTGTCAAATTTTGCATTTTTAAAAAAAAAAAATTCTTCAATAAAATGCTTCCTTACATCCCCACAAGACAACTACGTTCTTCCATTGACAGTAGAACCCTCTCAATCCCAAGAACTAAAACTAAGACCATCGGTGAACGCTCCTTCTGCTTCCATGGGCCCACGTTCTGGAACCAGCTCCCCTTCCATATACGTCATTGTGAAACCTCGTCCATTTTCAAAAAGTCTCTTAAAACTCATCTGTTTAGGTCCGCCTATGACCTGTGATGCACCATCCTTGCCCTACCTCATTTTCTGTTTCGGGTTGATCCTGAAGTGTCAAAGTGTCCTCGTTTTATAGCCATTTTCATTGTTTCTATAGAATAGTGGTTACTATCCTAGTGTCTCATTTGTATTTACTTAGTTTACATGTTTTAATAATTGTAAAGCGCTTAGAGCTTTATGATAAGCGCTATATAAAAATGCCTAAATAAATAAATAAATAAATAATTATTTTTTTAACTAAGAAAATAAAATATACAAAAAATATATTATGATAGCTGAGTTAAAAATGAACAAGTTAATATATATAACGGATCAGATCAGATCTTTATCAGAAGAGTTAATTAATTATTTTTAAAAATCACCTTAAGATTTTTTTAAAATGTGAAAAAAACGTCAGACTGCAGAGAGTTAGTACAGCAGAGTTATGTTTCCTAATTAGTCCATGTTAATACAGCAGAGTTATGTTTTTCTAATTAGTCCATGTTAATACTGCTGAATTGTAGAACATGAACACAACATTTTTCAGTATTTTTGTCCAGTTTTTAAAATAAATATGATAAAATGAACATTTAAATTAATTGATTGGTTAAAAACGTACCTACTTTTTTTAATAAGAAACTCTTTAGACTCAAAAAATTTAAGTGACCTAATGTAACAATAAGACCATTTTCAGAACATGTAAAAGCTGTCACCTAATGTCACTTTACGATAGTATCTTTGTATTAATTGTTCTGGATAGTGATGAAAGGAGATGATACTATGGCCCTGATCATGAAAATCTTGCACATTTGAAAATGGATTCTGTGAGACTACTGAAAGTTCTTATATGCCTATGAAATAATGCTATCAATGAGAATTATGAAATGTCCTGTCTTGGCTCAGTTTGAAAGATAAATTGTCCTATCTTGGTTCAGTTTGAAATATAAAATGTCCTATTTTGACTAAATATTCTTTCTTGGCTCAGTTTGAATGATAAAATGTCCTATCTTGGCTTGCATTTTGACAGCTGCTGCTGGACACGCACAGTTTAAAAACTGTACTGCTGGAACTACCAGGCCTGGGATCACAAGTTTCTAGGAAAGCGCCGGCCAGGTAAGCTGCACTTCATTCATAGAATTGATTCTGCCTGTTGAAAACAAAAAAAACAGAATTAAATTTTGAATTCAGCTGAGGTTCCTAGCAGGGGCGTTACCCCCAGCACACCACCAGGGCAGGGGAGTTACCCCCAGCACACCACCAGGGCAGGGGAGTTACTCCCAGCTCACCACCAGGGCAGGGGAGTTACTCCCAGCACACTACCAGGGCAGGGGAGATACCCCTAGCACACCACCAGGCAGGGGAGTTACTCCCAGCTCACCACCAGGACAGGGGAGTTACTCCCAGCTCATCACCAGGCAGGAGAGTAACCCCCAGCACACCACCAGGCAGGGGAGATACCCCTAGCACACCACCAGGGCAGGAGAGTTACTCCCAGCACTCCACCAGGGCAGGGGAGATACCCCTAGCACACATCCAGGCAAGGGACTTACTCCCAACACACCACCAGGACAGGGGAGTTACCCCCAGCACACCACCAGGGCAGGGGAGTTACTCCCAGCACACCACCAGGCCAGGGGAGTTACCCCTAGCACACACCCAGGCAAGGGACTTACTCCCAACACACCACCCGGACAGGGGAGTTACCCCCAGCACACCACCAAGCAAGGGGCTTACTCCCAACACACCACCCGGGCAGGGGAGTTACCCCCAGCACACCACCAGGGCAGGGGAGTTACTCCCAGCACACCACCAGGGCAGGGGAGATACCCCTAGCACACATCCAGGCAAGGGACTTACTCCCAACACACCACCAGGACAGGGGAGTTACCCCCAGCACTCCACCAGGGCAGGGGAGTTACTCCCAGCACTCCACCAGGGCAGGGGAGTTACTCCCAGCACACCACCAGGGCAGGGGAGATACCCCTAGCACACATCCAGGCAAGGGACTTACTCCCAACACACCACCAGGACAGGGGAGTTACCCCCAGCACACCACCAGGGCAGGAGAGTTACTCCCAGCACTCCACCAGGCAGGGGAGTTACTCCCAACACACCACTAGGACAGATTAGTTTCTGAGATAAAAATTTAAAAAACAGTTTTTCTTTGTGTGAGTGTGATGCATTAAAAAAATAATCACGTATGACACGCTCCCAATTTAGTTAATTTGTTACTTGTAAGGAAAAATCCTTGCAAAGATATAACATATATTATAGTGTTAGGATTAGATAGGGTTAGGGTTAAATATGGTTAATAGGGTTAGGGTAAGTTAGGGCTAGGGTTAAATATGGTTAATAGGGTTAGGGTAAGTTAGGGCTAGGGTTAGATATGGTTAATAGGGTTAGGATTATATATGGTTAATAGGGTTAGGGTTAGATATGGTTAATAGGGTTAGGGTTAGATATGGTTAATAGGGTTAGGGTAAGATAGGGCTAGGGTTAAATATGGTTAATAGGGTTAGGGTAAGTTAGGGCTAGGGTTAGATATGGTTAATAGGGTTAGGATTAGATAGGGTTAATAGGGTTAGGGTTAGATATGGTTAATAGGGTTAGGGTTAGATATGGTTAATAGGGTTAGGGTAAGTTAGGGCTAGGGTTAGATATGGTTAATAGGGTTAGGATTAGATAGGGTTAATAGGGTTAGGGTTAGATATGGTTAATAGGGTTAGGGTTAGATATGGTTAATAGGGTTAGGGTAAGATAGGGCTAGGGTAAGATATCGTTAATAGGGTTAGGGTTAGATATGGTTAATACGGTTAGGGTAAGTTATGGTTAATAGGGTTAGGGTTAGATATGGTTAATAGGGTTAGGGTAAGATAGGGCTAGTGTTAAATATGGTTAATAGGGTTAGGGTAAGATAGGGCTAGGGTTAGATATGGTTAATAGGGTTAGGATTAGATATGGTTAATAGGGTTAGGGTTAGATATGGTTAATAGAGTTAGGGTTAGATATGGTTAATAGGGTTAGGATTAGATATGGTTAATAGGGTTAGGGTTAGATATGGTTAATAGGGTTAGGGTTAGATATGGTTAATAGGGTTAGGGTTAGATATGGTTAATAGAGTTAGGGTTAGATATGGTTAATAGGGTTAGGATTAGATATGGTTAATAGGGTTAGGGTTAGATATGGTTAATAGGGTTAGGGTTAGATATGGTTAATAGGGTTAGGGTTAGATATGGTTAATAGGGTTAGGGTTAGATATGGTTAATAGGGTTAGGATTAGATATGGTTAATAGGGTTAGGATTAGATATGGTTAATAGGGTTAGGGTTAGATATGGTTAATAGGGTTAGGATTAGATATGGTTAATAGGGTTAGGGTTAGATATGGTTAATAGGGTTTGGGTTAGATATGGTTAATAGGGTTAGGATTAGATATGGTTAATAGGGTTAGGTTTAGATATGGTTAATAGAGTTAGGATTAGATATGGTTAATAGGGTTAGGATTAGATATGGTTAATAGGGTTTGGGTTGGATATGGTTAATAGGGTTTGGGTTAGATATGGTTAATAGAGTTAGGATTAGATATGGTTAATAGGGTTAGGGTTAGATATGGTTAATAGGGTTAGGATTAGATATGGTTAATAGGGTTAGGATTAGATATGGTTAATAGGGTTAGGATTAGATATGGTTAATAGGGTTAGGGTTGGATATCGTTAATAGAGTTAGGATTAGATATGGTTAATAGGGTTAGGATTAGATATGGTTGATAGGGTTAGGATTAGATATGGTTAATAGGGTTAGGGCTAGATCTGATTGATAGGGTTAGGGCTTGATCTGATTTATAGGTTAGATATGGTTAATGGGGTTAGATAGGCCAATGTGAGATCTTGTTTAGTTAACTAATTATAAGCGTGTTGGACTGTGATAAAGCTTTCAAGTTGGTTAATGAGACACCAACAATTTCTGTTAGTAAAACAATAGGTTCAGCTTTTATAATGATTATAAGGATTATACAGAATACAAATGTAAACGTTTTGACAAATGCCTTCTTCAGTTCAAAAAAACATTAATATAAGTATAAATCAAATTGACATAATATATTTAAACTTGTTTCCCACCTATAAATGAGAGAAAAGAATCAGAGATCTTGTTTGGATTTGATATTTTTCAGTTACACTAAGATAGTTGTCAAAGGCATGACCAAGGCAGAGATGATATTAAAGGTAAGCTTTTATAAAATCTAAGTTAAACTTAATTAAAGGTAAGCAAAGGACCATACAAGAAATGTTAACTATTTCTAGTTTAAGTTCAACTCTTGTTAAACTTTATAGAATGCTGTGACACCTGCAGTTGAGATGCTGAGACGCGGTTATCTAACATGCCTATTTAATGGCTGTTTCAAATTCTTTTAATGAATTTTTACTCCTCAAGTAATTTGTGCTGAATTATTACCAGGTTGTGATGTCACCTCAACATCCACCACAAGGATTTGTGGATAACTTTATCCGTTTGCTGGCTGACTCAGACATCAATGACTTTCAGAGAGTCTTGGAAATGAAGGTAAAATTCGGGATGATAACCAACCATCAAATTTAACTATTTTACAAATGTGACCATTCAAAAAATTTAACCACTCAAAAAATTTTACCACCCAACAATTTTTACCACTTAATAAATATAAATATCCTATAAATGTAACCAACAAATTAATTTAATCACCCAACAAATTAAATTACTTAACAAATTTAACCCTTTAACCAATTCAACCACCAACATATTTAACCAACCTACTTATTTAACTACGGCATTCAACAAATTTATCAGCCCAACAAAATTAAGTACCCAAATTATTGAACTACCAACAAATGTATTAGTCCATACCCTGAGAAAAGTCCACAACTTTTCTATTGGTTGGGTCTACAACAAACACATTTCTGTATCTATTGGTTGGGTCTACAACAAACACATTTCTGTATCTATTGGTTGGGTCTACAACAAACTCATTTCTGTATCTATTGGTTGGGCCTACAACAAACACATTTCTGTATCTATTGGTTGGGCCTACAACAAACACATTTCTGTATCAATTGTTTGCGTATACAGAAAACACATTTCTGTATCAATTGTTTGGGTCTACAACAAAAACATTTCTGTAACTATTGGTTGGATCTACAACAAAAACATTACTATATCTTCAAACATCTCCCAAACGCTATGAAACAATTTAATCATATTGTGGTGTCCTACTAGAAAATGTCGTGTATATCACAACTGCCACCATTAATGATGTTTTATATAACAACAAATATTTGAGTAACATGCTAAAGTCAAGAAACTTTGTTATATAGCGCAGCTTTGTTATATAGTGCAGCTTTGTTATATAGTGAAACTTCATTATCTATAGTTATTTTAAAAACTAAACATTCAATCGCAATTAAACAGATATCATAACACAGATGTTATTATACAGACGTCAAAGCACTGACATTTTTACACAGATGTCATTGCCAGTTAGTTTTTCTAATATACTCTCTATAACTACAGGGTGTTCGTCGAGGTGACCAGAGCTCATTGGTGGAAATGTTCCGAGCACGTGTTCCCGTGTCATCCATATTGGCCAACACAAGTCAGGGAGGGCTTGCCCCTGCCCAGAGCTATGTGACACCACATATATCTACACCTGAACCCGAGTCTAGTCGTATACGTAAGCTGGAGAAACTCATCAAGAAGAGGTTGTAGATACGAAAGAATTGTTGAAGTATTCATTCCACTCCATGTCTGAATTTAGTTATTGGATGGAACTTACTGATGAGGCTATCGACCTGGTTCTTCTAGTGGGCAGAGATCTTGAACATAGAACAGCAATAAGAACCAGGTCTAAATTCTGGGCCCACCAGTAACATTGATAAATGTCAAATCAGGCTGAGATTTCTAGCTGTGACACTATTTATAGTTCTACTAAGCCTTGTGTTACTTAAGCTTCAATCTGTTACAAATGTATTCAAAACTACCTGAATAAACAAGGAATATAGTAAAAGAAAAAAACACAACTTGATCATCTGTAGCATCAATAGTATTTCTTTCATTGATATCTGAGTTATTGAAATGAAGCACTGGGTATTTACTGATAGTTTGTTCAAAGTTAATTTGTACTTTGCAATTGCTAGTGGTGAGTGGATGCTGTTTGGCACAATATATCAGCTCAGTTGTTTAATGTGACAGCCATTGTTGGATGTGGCAGCCATTGTTGAATGTGACAGCCATTGTTGAACGTGACATCCATTATTGAATGTAACAGCCATTGTTGAATGTGACAGCAATTGCTAAATGTGACAGCCATTGTTGAATGTGACAGCCATCGTTGAATGTGACAACCATTGTTGAATGTGACAGCAATTGTTGAATGTGACAGCCATTTTTAAATGTGACCGCCATTGTTGAACGTGACAGCCACTGTTGAACGTGACATCCACTGTTGAATGTGATAGCAACTGTTGAACGTGACAGCCATTGTTGAATGTGACAGCCACTGGTGAATGTGACATCCATTGTAGGATGTGGCAAACATTGTTGAATGTGGCAGCCATTGTTGAATGTGACAGCCATTGTTGAACGTGACATCCATTATTGAATGTAACAGCCATTGTTGAATGGGGCAGCAATTGTTGAATGTGACAGCCATTGTTGAACGTGACATCCATTATTGAATGTGACAGCCATTATAGGATGTGGCAGCCATGGTTGAATGTGAAAGCCATTCTTGAATTTGACAGTCATTGTTGAATGTAACAGCCATTGTTGAATGTGACAGCCATTGTTGAATGAGACAGCCACTGTTGAACGTTACATTTATTGTAGGATGTGGCAGCCATTGTTGAATGTGGCAGCCATTGTTGAATGTGACAGCCATTGTTGAATGTGACAGCCATTGTAGTATGTGGCAGCCATTGTTGAATGTGACAGCCATTGTTGAACGTATCATTTATTGTTGAACGTGACATTGTTGGCCCTTTGGTTTGTGAAATGTATATATTTTATGTGTCCTATACCAGTTTTATGGTAACATATTCTTATGTCATTTTCTACTGCTTGTATTACTATCTACCATATTACATTCATTACTTTAATCTTTTAAGTTTATCCATGCAAGTTCATGTGACTAGAATTAATTCAAGACTTAACCAATAGAATTAAACTTATTTATATTTATATCTTAAGCAACCACTGTCGAATGCTACTCAAAATTAATTGAACTCTGGCTAAGGGATTTTAAACTCAACATTTCATGCCTTGCCAAGTGTTAGAGAGTACAGTAGTTGTAGTAGATTGCTGGACTCAGGCACTTACTTGACTGGGAGAGTCTAGACCAGAGGTCCCCAAACTTTTTTGTCTCCTAGACCACTTGCCATGTTTTTTCGGTTTTGGGTAGACCCCCTGCTTGTCTGATATTGATTTTTTTTTCGCTGACATGGACCCCTTGCAAGTTTTCGTCGACCCCTGGGGCTGGCGATATAAACCACTTTGGGAACCTCTTGTCTAGACTGAGACACTTATTTTACTGAGAGAGTCTAGCCTGAGACACTGACTTTATTGTGAGATTCTAGACTGAGACACTTACTTTACTGGGAGTCTAGACCAAGACACTTACTTTACTGTGAGTCTAGACCAAGACACTTACTTTACTGGGAGAGTCTAGTAGCAGGGTGAATGAAGGATTCGGATTAATGTTTTCTTCAGTAGACAAAACAAATTGATAAGTGCAATAATATATGAGAGGGACAACCACTAAATCCTAGCAATGTGAAGTGAGGCATACAGGGATGGCACAGTGGTGGTAGCAATGTGAAGTGAGGCACACAGGGATGGCACAGTGGTGGTAGCAATGTGAAGTGAGGCACACAGGGATGGCACAGTGGTGGTAGCAATGTGAAGTGAGGCACACAGGGGTGGCACAGTTGTGGTAGCAATGTGAAGTGAGGCACACAGGGGTGGCACAGTGGTGGGTCAACGGGAGCATCTTGCTAAGAGTTTGTCAATTTTTCTATTGCAAACTTAAATTAAAAGTGTTCACTTCATGTTACACTTCTCTTTAAGTTAAAGTTCTCTTTAAGTTACAGTTCTCTTTATGTTACAGTTCTCTTTGAGTTACGGTTCTCTTTATGTTACAGTTCTCTTTAAGTTACAGTTCTCTTTAAGTTACAGTTCTTCTCATGTCACACCAAAAACAAATAGTTTCAAAATGAAATGTCGATGTCAAATAAAATAAGATGACAGAAATAATAAGAGTTAGCATTAAGAAACGTGTGCCAATAACTGCAGTCAATGTAGAGATGGGTTTTTATTTGTATTTACTTCAACAATTCCATAATATGCGGGAAAGAAAATGTTTGTTTTTATTAGTAATAAAATTATTTATGCTCAAACTTGTGTTTCATGTTGTATGTGAACTCATACAAATACAATATCCAAGTGCCCAGCTTTAGCTAATGGAAGTAATATAATGAATAAATTAACAGAATATGTGACCCAAAATATTAAACACAATTGATTTAAATTCATTTATTCCTCTGATGCAAGTGGGAAAAATGCTGGTCCATTCAAACTGATAGTGGAAAGTGCTGGTCCATTCAAACTGATAGGGGAAAGTGCTGGTCTATTCAAACTGATAGGGGAAAGTGCTTTTATATTCAAATTGATAGTGGTAATGTGCAGGTCTATTTAAACTGATAGGGAAAAGTGCTGGTCTTTTCAAATTGATAGGGACAAATGCTGGTCTATTAAAATTGACAGGGAAAATGTCCTGGTCTATTAAAATTGATTGTGGAAAAGTGCTGGTCTATTCAAATTGATAGGGAGAAAGTTCTGGTCTATTCAAATTGATAGGAGAAAAGTGCTGGTCTATTCAAATTGATAGGGAGAAAGTTCTGGTCTATTCAAATTGATAGGAGAAAAGTGCTGGTCTATTCAAATTGATAAGGGGAAAGTTCTGGTCTATTCAAATTTATTTCCCTTACACAACACCAACCAGTTTTGTGATCCTTCACTTCTTCAAGAAATATCAGCACAAAAATATTAAAATAATTAACACATCCCTACTATTTTCTTGACCAAATCTTGTGAGTAAGCACATGCGTTGTACGTCCTAAAATATTTCCTCAAGACATCTTAAAATATTTCCTCAAGACATCTTAAAATATTTCCTCAAGAGATCTTAAATATTTCCTCAAGAGATCTTAAAATATTTCCTCAAGAGATCTTAAAATATTTCTTCAAGACATCTTAAAATATTTCCTCAAACCATCTTAAAATATTTCCTCAAGAGATCTTAAAATATTTCCTCAAGAGATCTTAAAATATTTCCTCAAGACGTCTTAAAATATTTCCTCAAGAGATCTTAAAATATTTCCTCAAGACATCTTAAAATATTTCCTCAAGCCATCTTAAAATATTTCCTCAAGAGATCTTAAAATATTTCCTCAAGAGATCTTAAAATATTTCTTCAAGACGTCTTAAAATATTTCCTCAAGAGATCTTAAAATATTTCCTCAAGACATCTTAAAATATTTCCTCAAGCCATCTTAAAATATTTCCTCAAGCCATCTTAAAATATCTCTTCACGGGATCTTAAAAGTTGTCAACAAAACATCTTAAAATATGTCCGCAAGAAATTTTAAAATATGTCCTCAAGACATCTTAAAATTTGTCAACAAGACATCTTAAAATATGTCCTCAAGACATCTTAAAATATGTCCACAAGTCATCTTAAAATATGTCCATAAGAAATCTTAAAATATGTCCACAAGTCATCTTAAAATATGTCCTCAAATCATCTTAAAATATGTCCACAAGAAATCTTAAAATATGTCCACAAGACATCTTAAAATATGTCCACAAGTCATTCTAAATATGTCCACAAGACATCTTAAAATATGTCCACAAGACACCTTAAAATATGTCCACAAGACATCTGAAAATATGTCCACAAGTCATCTTAAAATATGTCCACAAGTCATCAAAATATGTCCACAAGACATCTTAAAATATGTCCACAAGACATCTTAAAATGTCCTCAAGAAATCTAAAAATATGTCCACAAGTCATCTTAAAATATGTCCACAATTCATCTTAAAATATGTCCACAAGTCATCTTGAAATTTCCTCAAGAAATCTAAAAATATGTCCACAAGTCATCTTAAAATATGTCCACAAGACATCTTAAAATATGTCCACAAGACATCTTAAAATATGTCCATAAGACATCTTAAAATATGTCCACAACTCATCTTAAAATATGTCCACAAGTCATCTTAAAATATTTCCATAAGAAATCTTAAAATATGTCCACAAGTCATCTTAAAATATTTCCATAAGAAATCTTAAAATATGTCCACAAGTCATCTTAAAATATGTCCTCAAATCATCTTAACATATGTCCACAAGAAGTCTTAAAATATGTCCACAAGACATCTTAAAATATGTCCACAAGACATCTTAAAATATGCCCACAAGACATCTTATTCTCTTCACTGACAATTAAATCCTCCTCTCTCCCCCCCCCCAAAAAAAATATGTGCCAGAAATCCAAGCCACGCCCCTCAACTGATTGAGAAACAAGATCCCAAAGGTTAAATCCGATCATTTTCTTACACTTCCTTCTGGAATACCTCTGTTTTAAAATAAGGAAAGAGCAAAGATCAGCCTGTGAAATTGACCCCTCCACGGCAGTCTCTAATGGGCTTTGGGTCTTTCCCTTGTACGTGGCCCTGCCTACAGATACGGCAGTCGAGACAACAAAATCACCATTTTTCACCCAAATCTTCGCTAATCTAGGACAGGAAAAAACAGAGAACTCCAGTCAACAGGAGAGTTTCTTGGAGTTGGAGACTAGAGGAAAAAATCACCTTGGAGAATTCCCCATTTTTACAGCGGCAATTAAAAAAGCTTCCTCGCTATATCCCCAGCCGTGCGTCACGTGACTGGTGGGCTAGCGCCGCCTGCCGGACGTGACCTGACTCGAGACACCCTCGTCTCTCGGACTAAAAATCGTCGATGAACTACATGGCTGCTGTAATTGACACTCGTGAGCCCACCCACTTTCTCTCGTTTACTGTAAGTCTCTCAATTATTCGGCACCCCACATGACACCCAAAAGCTTATAATACCTATTATATATATAACACCTGCCCGCGACTGCAAGCGAATGCGAGCGAGGGCTTTGGAGTCTCGTATTATACAATGAGTCGCGAGCTGTGACTTATGACGTCCCGCATTAGAGGGGGGGTTCATTTATAAATAACGTCACGCTAATTTGGTCGATAATGCAAACATTCCCTCCCCATTTCTCCATACAATTAAGACACCCTCAAAACAAATCGTAAAAAGTTTATGACCCCCCCCACATGCAATGTTACAGCCCACACCATGTTAACACCCCACACACTGTTAATACCCAAGACACTGTTAAAACATCACACAATTATCTAACCACACTACAAGACGCATCTTTAGGTACAATGATTTTTCTTTGAACGGATGATTATTTCATTGGCTGGAATTTAAATCATGATTATTCCATAGACCGGCATTTAAAGCATGATTATTTCATAGGTTTATCTTTAAAAGCATGATTATTTCATTGCTGGTATTTAAAGCATGATTATTTCCAAGGCTTGCAGTTAAAGCATGATTATTTTCTAGCCCAGACGTCCCGTTGGTTGGCAACAAACTAGATGCTTACATCGTGGACGGGCGTCTCCAAGGGAGCGATCCTAGTCCCCGTGATAAACAGCAGATTAAAGGTCAGCTCAGACGGACCAGCCGATCTGAACATCAGCAGGACAATGGGTCCTTGGGGAGATGGTTTGGGTCTGGGAGGTGGGGGAGTGTTTGGACGGTGGAATTGGAATGTTTGGGAGGTGCATGACATCTTGGCAGGGGGGGGGGAAGATGTCTGGGCAGTGGAAGATTTCTGGGCAGTGGAGAATGTCTGGGCGGTGAAAGATGTCTGGGCGGTGGAAGATGTCTGGGAGGTGGAAGATGTCTGGGCGGTTGAGGATGTCTGGGCGGTGGAAGATGTCTGGGCGGTGGAAGATGTCTGGGCGGTGGAAGATGTCAGGGCGGTGGAAGATGTCTGGGCGGGGGAAGATGTCTGGGCGGCGGAAGATGTCTGGGAGGTGGAAGAT